AGATACTATCATATTATTTTTTAAGTTCATATTTTTACAATTTCAACTTTGATACAATAATTTTTGCACTTCTAGGTTAGTTTCATCTACGAAAATCAGACATACTATTGCAAATGTCCAAAAAATACTTACCTACTTAATTTCTTTAGAATGTGTTGGAGGATGTTAAATAAACTTGAAATCCTATTAAACAGAAGAAAATTCATATCAAATTAAAGCACAAAAAACTTACGTTTGACAATCATAGCTCCTCAGGAAGAGAAATGCCCTCAATAACAAAAGAAAACAGCAGATGATATAATGTAAAACAAAGAATACTCAAATTCATTTCTATATGGATTAAATTATAATATTTACTTAATTCTTGCCATTTCCTGATTTCCCTTCATTAGCACAAAGTATTTGGCTTTGTGTGAGTCAGAGCAGCTATAAAGAGATCACTATTGTATATTCAAATCATACACTTTAAAAATGTTCTGAAGTCTTTAGTAGTATTGATCTGCAGAAGAGCTTGCCTTTTAGAGATGGTGATACACTAGATTAGATTAGAAACTGACCAATACTTTACATACATGATGACACAGAAGCCACTGACTGGGGACAGGATAACAAAAGGGAAGTGAAATATAAGACATTATTCTAAAAATTTCTTTAGTATCTCTTCTAGACTTAAACTCATTCCTTATTTATTTTTTTAAAAAATGGTTTTCACTGGGAGAGGTAAGACAGGTGGTGAATAGGATATGAAAATGTTTTTCTATTCGCATAAGACAAGTTACTGCTCAAGAGAAGCAATCCTTATAATAGAAGTGGATGTATTTAAGTATAAGCAGAGAGTTCACATTTGAATCTGGGACTCTTAAAAACCTGTGTCAAGCCTGAAAGCTAGAACTGTGCAGCTGGTACAAGTGAGGACCACTTCTCATCCTAAGTGGTCAAATATATTAACTGCCAAAGCTGTCACTAGCTCAGCCGTGTGCTCTGCGGCATCACTCACTCTAAGTCCCAGTTTCCTCATGTATAAAATGGAGATGATACTACCATCAGTCTTTCCTTAGAAGTTGTGAGATGCAAATGAGATAATATTCCTAAGTTATTTTCCTTTGCATTTAGGCACTTCTGTTCTGAGTACAATAAATTCACTTTAGTGTGTTGTATAATATAATGCTTGGTAGAAGGGCAAACTTTCAGAAGTCAGAATGTCCAATCAGTGTATACAATCTTGAGAACTAAGAGTCTGGGACTTTTCTATCCTTTCCTTTCTCGATAAAGGGGTAAAATGCTTGCTTCCCATGTACTTCAAGATTGTGGCCACTCTCTGGTTCTAGCCTCCTTTGTCCTAACTAGAAAGGCTGGCACTACTTGCATTGTGCTTAATTTGGAGATGGAGACAATTAATATGGATGGATCACAAATTGGGTCCAGGCTTCATCAAGGGACGAACAGATAAAGAAAATGTGGTATGTATGTATATGTGTGTGTATATATATACACACACACACACACACACACACACACGTACATACACACACAATGGACTATTATTCAGTCATAAAAAAGAATGAAATCTGGTTATTTGTAGCATCGGGGATGGAACTGGAGGTCATTATGTTAAGTGAACTAAGCCAGGCACAACAGAAAGACAAACATCACATGTTCTCATATGTGGGAGCTAAAAGAAGTAGATTTCTTAGAGGTAGAGAGTAGAATGGTGGCTACCAGAGGCTAGGAAGGAAAGGGGGAGTAAAGAGAAGTTGGTTAAGGGGTACGAAAATACAGTTAGATAGAAAGAATAAGTTCTAGTATTGGCTAGTACAGTAGGGAAATTATAGTTAGCAATAATTGTGTATTTCAAAATAGCTAGAAGAGAAGAACTGTAATGTTCTCAACACAAAGATTAACGTTTGAGGTGGTGGATATCCCAATTACCCTGATTTGATAATTACACATTGTATACAGGTATAAAATATCACATGTACTCCCAAAATATGTACAACTATTATATAATCAATAAAAAGACAAACACACAAACAAAAACAAAAATACAAATTGGGTCTGGGAAAGTCTCAATGTAGAAAAGGATTAAAAGTCTTAGAAATAAATTAACCAGTATTTAGAGATAAAGGAGAATGAGTGACCACTTTAACAAGTTTTTCAATTCCTACCACAAAGTAAACTTTCTTACTTGAGTGCTGAAAGCTTTTCTTTTAATTCTTCTGAGGTAATTTCTTCTAGCAGGAAAAGCTTTGAAGTAAATGCATCAATATGCCCTAAAATAAAATATCAAACTTAAAAAGAACAAGCAACTGCAGTATTTACAAAATAAAAATACCAATAAGTTAGCCAGTCTCCTTAAAGATGTTTTTACAAAATGTTAATAACTGCAAAGGAATTTTACATGCTAAAAGATGGAGAAACATATATTTTATTACGTCTATTAAGTAAAGCTGTATTTTAAAATGACATAAAAATTCAGATTATGAAAGAAATATGTATTCATTCTAAAATATTTGTGGAATGTAGAAAAGTTTACACATGTTCACGTACACAAAATCATTTCAAAGCCTACAATTTTTTAATACAATTGTTAAAATATGGGTATTTCTAATTCCTATTAAAGTTACATTTTTATGGAGGTTTTTTTTAGAGGTATATGTACCAAATACAAAGCAAGCAGATAAAGTCAAATTTAAAGTCTGGGCCTGTTCAATACATCTCTAAGACACATTTGGTTCTTAAGATAAAAATTAGATTATAAAAATCTGGCTTATTATTTTTTAATTAAAGTACACCATAAGATTTCCCATGGTTAAAAAAAAAAAATCAAAGCAGTCTGCTCAGAGTCTTACTTTCTCACAAACATGACATGAATGTAGAATTTCAAAAAACAATACTGTAAATTCTCAAGATGACGCTATTTTATTAATAAAAAAGTAACATGTATTTTCTAAAACAAAATAGGTTGAGACAACACCAAGACCCTGAAATGTACCAAGGAAGAGCCATATAAAAGACAGTCCTGGGCTAACCGTTATATAATCAAGTCAACACAAAAACCATGTTATTGTACCATAGTTAGAAACATCAATTAGCATGATGAGAGGATAACACTCTGCAATGCTGAAAATATTTCCTTTTTTGTTTTTAACTCCCTATATCAGTTATCAAAACAAATTACCTGGAAAGTTGATGTCAATCACTGGGACAACAAAAATACATACAATTTAATATCTCATTTTCATATCTAGCCCCCTTTCATCTCATTTGCTTTATGCTCAAAGAATTAACATTTTTACCAGATGCCTTCCTTCTATTTGTTCCCACACCTACCTGTTATTTCTTATGCCAAGTTTTAGTTTCACCTCTGTAACTCATTATATATAACACTCATTATACAGTGACATTTCTAATAACAAAGACATATTTTAATGGTTTAATAACCATAGAAAAAGAATATTAA